AAACTCCGCTCAAAACCTCAGGGGGTTTTTGTGTCTTTCAAACTCCTGATCTGCTTTTAATTACAAAATGGCAGTGGAAGGTACGAATATGCTGCCATGAAGACAGAAAAAGGGGGAATACAGAAAGCTATCTTTGCTACCAATACATTATTAAATTCTTTTCTTTGACATCCTGACAGTAATTGCACTGAATGGGACTGAATTTTGTTAAAATTACTTTAAAAGGGTTGTTGAGAATTTCCTGTGGGATGCAGTGGCAAGCACCAAGGCTTTCACTTCATTTTCTCTGTTGTCCTTACACTCCCAAGGGGCTTATTGTTCATCCTGCTTTCTGACAGCATGAAGGCCTATGTAAACACCCTCTGAAAAGAGAAAGCTTCACCAGATACTGCCATTTGGATTTGTTTTCCTCTGTCAGAGGGAAAGATAAATATTCCTACCTGATTCACAGCTGAGCTTGTTGCAAGTGTATTTTTAGCAACCAACCAGCTCTTCTGATAGAAGGAGTGAAACACAAGTGATTACACGCAATTATATTTAGAATAGCGGCATTTCTTTTTTCAGCGAGCGGCCAAGGAGTTCTGAACCCTGGACACCCCTCACCGAAGATGTAGCTCCCGCACTCAGGAACTTGCAGTCTTCATCCACCATAGCAAATGAAATGTTTATAATTTGAAATACATCTATATGTCAAACATGAGTGTTTTTTTTTAACTTCTCTAAATAAAATGAGGTTTCTTGAAGTTTTTTAATTTTAGGCTGTTCGCACATCGGTGCCTCTTAAAGGAGGCATTTCCATTGAGTTCTGGGTCCCAGCTCTTGTCCAGAGTGCTTTTCTGCCATGCCAAGCCTTGATTGTAAGTCATGAAGCTTACCGAGTAATATTCATCAAATAATGTAATTAAATTTCATGCAACTTATTTCATCTGGCTTTTTTTCATCCTGAGTTACAGAACAGGGAAAGTCATTTATATTATTCCCCGAATAATGCAGACAAAACCGCTGGTGACTTTTGTAATAAAGTGTCAGTGAACTCTTTTCAATGTCCTGCCGCATTCAATGTGAATGATGAAAGCATTTGGAGAGAGACAAACAGCAGACCGCTTTCTGGCCTAGAATGCCGTGTTTTGATTCACACGCAGCGAATGCCAACAGCCACAGATCACCATGTAGATGAAAGTACTGTTATTTTTACCTGTTTTAAAAATAACAACAATAACAACAACAGAACATTGCCATTTCATCCAGGGTGAGAATGAATCAGACTTCTGCACTATTTTTCCCCCTCTTCAGTTGCCGACTGAGTAGTCTGTTTTTAGAGTTGCCATGGTCAAAAGCCTGAGATGCTAAAGGACAACTCCTGGGGTAACTACTATTCTTTCTCCCTCTCTTGCTCGCAGAGAGCCAGGAGAATAAATCTGGATCACGCCATCAGTGTTTTTCCTGCATCTCTAAGCTGCTCTACGAACTCTGTTTGCAGAATAAGTCAAGACATTGAATGGCTAAGCTAGAAAAAATACTTGCAGATATACTGCCTGTAATTCTGTCAAATTTTATCAGTTTAAGCAGAACTGGACCTGCTCATTATCTGGATGGAAGACTCCCAAGGACGAGCTCTGTGCCGCGCTGTGGTTTGAGAAATGGAGTGGATGGAGTACGCTGCCTTTGGGGTAAGGATTAATCCAACACCACGGGGCTGGATGGAGAGAGCTCAGCTGCCAGATGCAGCAGAGCATATCAGTATTTTCAGGGCTGCTTCCTCCCTCTGCTCACGAAGGTCCCTCACGCTTCAGTCCCTGTGAGCTGCGCTTCTGTTCACAGAGACAGCAGAGAGAAAGAGGGGGTGAGGGCCGAAACTGCTGCGAGCATGCTGCATCCGTACGGGAACTCGTGCTCATGTTCTCTCCGGACCCCAAAGCCTTGCCTTCTTCCCACCACAGCAGCCTGTCGACTGTAGCTTGTACCTAGTGAATGAGTTATTTTGGTACAAAATGTGGGTTTGAATCCTCTCTGAAAAAGAAGGGAATCAAAGGCAAACCTACCAACCCCCCATAAGCCCTTCAGCCACTATGCAGAGGG